ATAACTCTAAAAATTCTTACATTACATTTTGCGGCTCTAAACAAAATTTCAGAGTCACCTTTCACACACACAAACATTTTCAAAATCGGCAATTAAATCCAAAGCTCCTCTAAAAGCCAGAGCCTCAACCATTAAAATAAAAGTGCCAACAACTTTCTCAATAATGCTTTTTTTTTTTTAAAAAAAGAAAAGGATGGGAGATGTGTACGGATGTTAACAGAAATAATTAAAAAAACATGTATGAAAAATAAAAATATTTTTGATAATATTTATCCATATCTTGCATGTCAAATTTGTAGATTCAATGAAATTATTTTTATCTATTACAAATCACCAAAATTATCAAGTATGTCACATTAATTGTTTAACCAAATTAAAACAAACTTTCATTACCAACTGAAATCACCAATGAAAATAATTGGTTTTCCACCAATTTTGATTGATTTGCCTGATGGTTGATTCTAGTGGTTGTCCATGATTCAACTAGTAAGAAAGTTATATTTTCTTAACTAGAAATTTTTAGTTTGAGCTTTGGAAATATAATAACATTGCAAGTAGAGCTTTTGTAGTTTGATACAAAAGGATTCGGACCTAGTTTGATACGGATTAATCTGAATCCTGCTATGTTATGTTTGGATGCATGTGAATTTAAATTTAAATTTGAATTTAAGCCAAATTTATTGTTTGGGTAATTAAAAATGTATGTATTTGAATTTGACTAATTCCTTTATAATTACTAATCCTTTATAAATCTTTATCATTCAAATTTCAATGAAAGCTTCTTTCTTCCTTTGTTTTCGTTCATTGAATTTGCTACTTTCTTGACTTTGATATCACTACCTTCAGTTGACATCCATTGGAACCGAATCGCTAGTTAAGATAGTAACCATTCAGCTAGCTGCAACAGGGACTAGACCTACGGTTGTGATCGAAACATAATGGTTGGCGACAGCAGGGACTAGATTGTAGGCGACAACCACGACCAGACGGCATATGATGGTTGGGATGCAACTACCAAGGCAAATTGGGATCGAACGATAGGGACCAAGCCGCCTGAGTAGACCAGGACTAGACAATCGGCAATGGCTAAGATCGAGCAGTAGTCGTCAACCAGGATCGCCTTCCTCCACTCTAAATGCTGGTTTGCCATTGTTGTCATCATTTGATGAAGGTCCAATGCCATCATCTGGTGTCGGTCCACTACCACCATTTAGTGCTAGTCCATCACATCTAATCGGTGTCAATCTATCTTCGCCATCATTATCCAACACCAAATGCCACTTTTAACAAGGAATGTTTTGGTGTCGTCGTCTAGGTCCAAGCTGCAACCCTCATACTACTGTAATTGTCCCATACTAATCCTTAGGTGTTGTTTAGAATCAGATCATTGATGTTGACTAGGACCGGTCTACCACTGTTGATTGAGATTGGATCATTGATGTCATTCGGGTTTGAATAGCCGAAGTTGTCTTAGACCGGATCACCCATTTTGACAAGGACCGGACTACTAACATTGTCTGAGTTGCTTTTACATTCAAATATAAAATATAAAATTTAGAATTTTATTTAATATATGAGCAAAGTATTTTTAATATTATAATTTAAAAATTTTTTATATTATTCAAATAAAAAATTTAGAATCCATGAATTTTAAAAGTGATATTTCAAATTAAAATTCTCAACCCAAATTCATCCATCTAAATGCAACCTTAAAGTTTTGAAAAATGACAGTTAAGGACTCCTTAAGGTCATTAATTTCAATTAAGGACGATGGTCCTTACTTGAAATTTAAAAAATTGTGAATTTTCTTAAATTTCCCTCAAGAAAAAAAATCATTAAATGAAGTTAGTAAATTTTTAAGTCATTTTTGTATATTCATAAGTGGCCTTGGAACATTTTAAAAGTTAGTTTCCTTCATACTAGAAAATAATCTATTTCCAAATGTGGTTCCTTGTTTCTCAACAAACATTAACAATATTTTCATACCATGATAGTGATTTCAGTAATGTCATCTCTTTGTTTTTTAAGTGGTAACTATATATAAATAAGTATAAAATCTGACAAGTCATTAGATTTATATTCCTAAGTGTAGTTAGTAAATTCTCAAGTTACTTTTATATATTCATAAGTGACCTTGAAATATTTTAAAAGTGAGTTTCTTTTATATTGAGGAACAATTTATCCTCAAATGTAGTTCCTTATTTTTCCAACTGACATTAATAAAATTCTCGTACCACGATAGTGATTTCAACAGTGTACATTTTAATGTTTAGTAGAGGCAATTTTATAAAGTTATGTATGTTTTTTATTTCAAGTAAGGACCACAGTTTTTAATTGAGATTTTAATATTTTATGATTCTTAATTAAAATTAATAAACTTTGAGGGGTCTTTTGTTGTCATTGCCCCTAAAGTTTTTCACTTTTTCCAGTTTGATGTGGGCAAGTTCAAAATACTAAGTGCACTACGTAAAAGAATAGTCTTTTCTTAAAAAAAAAAAAAAAAAGCGAGAATGTAGTAAGAAGAAAGGAAGGATGTCGGCTGTGAAATCTCAAGTCTCAACGCCGACTAGATAGTTAACTTGATATTCATCGAACTACCAACCGTCAATTTGGTCATATCCACACCTCCTTTTTCCATACTTCCATTCCATTATGAGTTTTGACCCTTCTATTGTCTTCCTTCCCAACTTTTTCTATTTTGTTTTTTTTTTAACATTTGTCGATTCTAAACAATTAATCACGTTAAATTCCTATTAATGATCTTGATTTGAGTCTCATTAAACTGCATCCACATTTCTCCTAATATACTCCAAACCACATGGACAAAATACCACTCGTCTTCGTTCTCAATTATTTTGATATTATCATTTTATCACCTAGTTTTGGGGTTTAAGGCGTGATATTTAAGACTTCTTATAAATATATAATATTGATATAAATTAGTAGGAAGTCAAATTATTTATCCATCATAATAATATTGTTATTTTTTAATAATTTAATTAATGATTAGTTAAAAATAATTATCATATTATCAAAAAAAAAAGAAAATAAAAAATATTTAGACTAATTTAAGAGACCCAACATTGTGTTGGTTACTTTTATTTATGGGAAAATTTCATTCTAGAATCGCTAAGGTAATTTAATATTAAATAAGAATTAAAAGGTTTTGAAATATTATTATAGGATTAAGAGACTAATTCAAAAATGATTTTAAATAAAAAAGACTATAATACCCTTGTCTTTATTTTTTAAAAAAACTTGTCAATTAATAAATAATTTCTTATTAAATATGAATGTGTACTTATTAATTAAATGAATAACTATTTATTAAAATATGATTTACACTTGTCTTTTTTCACAACCAAGTTCTTTTATATTCTTAAACTTGTCAATTTTTAAATAACTTCTTGTTAAATCTAAATGTGTACCTATAAAATAATGGATGGCTATTGGTTGAAATAAGATTTATATTTGTTTTTTTTTTTGTACAACCAAGTATTTTCATATTTTTAAACTTGTTAATTAATAAATGACTTTTTGTTAAATATAAATGAGTACTTGTTATTTAATGAATGATTATTTGCCAATTGAAAAAAAAAACAAGGGTATTATAATATTTTTTCATATAAAATTATCTTTAAATCAATCCCCTAATTTTGCAATGATATTTTATAATTTTTTATCTTTATTTAATATTAAATACCTTCAATGATCTTTGATATTTTTTTCCTATACGTATATTAGGAAAAGAAAGGATGAATGATGAGGAGCTAGAGTAAAAAGGCTCATATTTTGCTGACATGTACCAAAGTCTTTTAACCCTTTTGCTGGCGTATACTTAATCTCGTATTCATCTTCCGCATTTTACTTAATGTAGCCGAATAAGAAAGAAAGATCTTCTCCCCTTAACTTTTATTTTTGATCATACCTTGTCAATTTGTTTCTAGGTCAGCATATTTTTACCATATCAATAAAAGAAGTTAACAAAATTACAATGAAATTAACTTCATTAATATTAGCTCATGGTCTTCATAAATATTTTTAAAACTATTGGTACTAATACTATAGACAAATCAAACTAAATGAACTAGGAATAACAAAATAAAACTATAGGGATTAAAAAATAAAAAAACAAAACAAAACACAATTCAAGTATAAGGACCTACTGTGTTATTTTCCCAAAAAAAACAAAATTATGGGAGAGATCCTGATTGAGTTAGATAATGTTTGACTATAGCCAATTATTATGGTATTCAATATATATAAATACATACACATATATATGCAGAGGCCAATCAACAGAGATAAGTTTCACATTTTATTCTGAAACTTGAATAATAATTTAGGGTGTATAAAATAGATAAAGGGATAACAAAGCTTTTAGTCCTTTAAATTTGTTTTAGTTATTGATTTGGTTTCCTCAAATTTAATTTTTTTTATTTGATTCCTTATATTTTCTTAAATTATCATGAGTCACTTAAGTTTTAAAACACAAATTAATTATCTAAATAATCTAATTTATAAAATATATTGATGACTTAACATATATATGTAGCTAAATAAAAACAAACTAACCCTCAAATCAATTAATTTTTTTTATCAATATAATCACATTCAATGTACTTTATTCTCTTGTATTTTAAAATTTCAGAGTCTGATTTTTTTAACTCAAAATATGGATCCTATTATCAATGTCAGCAAATTTTAACAATATTATTTTTTTAAATAATAAAAATTAAATTAATAATCAAAATAAATTTAAAAGATTAATTTAATATAAATTAAATTTAAGGGACTAAAAGTTATACAATCTTTGATGAAATTTTTCAGACCGCCTATATTAAGATATTTAATTAACTTTAATTTAATTAATTTTAAAAAAAGGTGCTTTTTTCTCTCCCCTTTGACACCGACTCTTCTTGAATGATGGTAACCAATTTGAATCCTTCCATTTTCATCAATCCTCTCTGTTATAAGTACCAAACCTCCCGTGCGTCTCCATTTGCTCTTTCCATCGTTTTCATTTTGCCGCATTAAACAGACTCATAATCCCACACACTCCTTCTTCCTCGATCGTTTCATGTGTTTCTTAAAGGTGGCGAATCCTAGTACGCACACCTCCAACAACGTTGTTCATGTTCCTTCTTCGTCGCTGCCGATTGTATTCCCAGGTATGGATAGGGACAGAGAGATGTCTGCTATGGTTTCTGCTCTCAGCCACGTCGTCGCCGGAGATATTCCCGGTGATTCCAGTGAAATTTCTTCAGGAGGCGGCGGCGGCGGCGGCGGCCGAGGTGGAGGGGACTCTGTTACATTAAACTCACTGTCAGATTCAACGATGCCGTCTTCGTGTCCTTCGTCTTACGGTGGTAACTCTGCTTTGAAGCGAAACAGGGAAGATTATATTAGAGGCTCTTCCACTGCAATTATTCCAACAGGTTGGTACTATTCAATCAAAATATTAATTCAATTCTAATATGATTTTTTTTTTGGGTGTTCATTCCGGTTATTATTATTTTTCCAAATGGGAGGTTGATAATTGATAGCTTGCTTGATTTTATGCTTATAAATTAAAAAATAAAAGTTGTCTGGAAGTGTTTGCAACAGTCAACAGATGCCTATAAGCTAGAATTCATCTTTAGCTTGGAAATTCTTAAACACTGATTAGAATACAGAAGAAGATTATACCCTCATCAGATGCTTTTCCTTGTCAAGTAACAAGAAATCTCATAATATTCAAATTCAAGTAAATCTGGTTAGTTAATCATTCAACTAATATGTCTTGATTGTATTTTGGCCGGTATAATAATTGTCTGATTTTCAGTACCTTCAAAAATTTTGTAACAAGGTTAACTACATGTTTCTGTCAGTTCTGATAATTCTGTATCGTATCCTAGAGGTAAAAATAAAAACCTTGTTTTTTTCCTTTAAATGTCTTATATGATAATACAATCTGTTCTGGTTGGGATTTGTGGGTTTTACATATATATGTCCATAAATGCTTTCATGTTTTTATATATGCTTCAAAACCAAAATTCCACTAGGAAAAATAAAATAAAATAAAATTGTGCCGAACACAGAACAGTACGAGCACTTGAATCATTACTTTGACCGCTTTAATAGAAATAGATTGAGTGCACAAAACTAGATATCACTTTCAAACACAATTCTCTGATTATTATTGTATCACCACACAGTTGCAGCAGAAGGTTCAAGAGGAGAGAGAATGGAAATGGAAAATGCAGTGTATGAATATAGCTGTAATGTAGAGACTGTGGGAAGATCAGGGGAAGGAAGAAGAAAGTACAGAGGAGTGAGACAGAGGCCATGGGGCAAGTGGGCGGCTGAGATAAGAGATCCTTTCAAAGCTGCCCGAGTTTGGTTGGGCACTTTTGACACGGCGGAGGCTGCTGCCCGGGCCTACGATGAAGCTGCCCTGCGTTTCAGAGGCAACAAGGCCAAGCTTAATTTCCCTGAGAATGTCAGGCTCCGGCAACCGCCTCCGACGACGGCGACGACCCATTTGAGAGGTTCGGGTTCTGCAAGTACCCTTTTGTCCACACCGACGTCCACCGAGCCGATTGTTCATACTGAAGCTCTTCATCACCACCGTCTTATGAGTTCTGAACCGGCGGCGGCGGCGGTTGATTTTTATAACTATTCGCAGTTTTCGGAGTTTCCCATGAATTTTTATGATCAGATGGTTATGACATCTTCAATGGCCCATCATTCTCAGTCATCCTCATTGCCGTCCTCATCTTCATCTTCTACATTGGCATCTTCTGTTACCTCTCAGCAGGGCCAAGCAGGTTTGCCTTATCCGGGTTGGGTCATGCCGGAAACGGGTCAGGAAAGTGGATCCGAATGCTTACAATCAGCATGGTCAGCTTCGGGTCATAGTACTTCTTCCTCTGCGTGATCTTGTAATTTAATTCTTACGATTTATTATTATTTAACCTCTCTTTTTATTTTGTTTTATTTTTTTTGCATGAGAATCATTTCATTTTACAGTGTTTCATTAGGGATGAATTTTAATAATTTCTCTAAATTCTCCATTTTTTTGGAAGGGAGAGATAGGAACTAAACAAGAGAAGAGAAGGCGAGCTTATCAATTTTGATGGTGTTTGGGATGGCATTAATAATATATAAGACTTAAGAGTATTTCAAGTGTCATACTCAAGGGAAGTTGCATTTTATGAAGTCAATTAATTCTCAATCAAACACAAATTCTTGAAACTACCCATAGCTTATTTATTTGTATCTTCCTTTTCATATTTAAACTAGTTTTTTTTTTTAATCTTTTAGTTCATCAAGCCCTTCTTGTGGTATTCTTTATAAGCGTTGATATCTCCATACTCTCTCACCCATGGGGTGATTGTATCCACAAAACATCCTTCTAGTTCTTTTTACTCCAACTGCTGCTAAATGAGTCATTTGAAGACGAGAAAGATCATACCATGCAAAACCATTCTCACAAAACTCAACTTAATCATGTTTATCTGCAAATATGAGCCTAAATGTCGATATTTTACATATATAATAGACACATCAAAAGAAAAATCTTGAAATAAAAAAATGGTAATATATGTATAAAATATTTTTAAAACAAATTAATCACATACTTGTGTTATATATTTAATATAATATTATTAAAAATTAACGGAAAAATATAAATATTTATCTGCTAATATGACATAGGAATGTACTTTTTTTAGGAGGAAACAAATATATACACGTATTAACCCCTTTTTTCCTGATAAAACGGTCAAATTTCACGTGTATTAATTCCTTGATTATTAAATAAATGAACTAATCCTAATTTTTTTGAAACGTAATGTTAATGTATCCAATCAAAAATATCACCGGTATTTTTTGTATAATTATGTGATATACAGTAATGTTAAGTTTAACTTACGTATTAGCAAATCTAATTGAAATAGATCTTCCCATTAGCGCCTTCTAATTAGTATTGACATTCACTGTTGTATATGAAAGCAGGGTTGTCTGTAATGAGTAGTGATTACCAAATAATAATTGAATAACATTCCTTCTACAATTTTACTCTCTTTCTAAAAATAATATCATTGAAGAATCTCTGAAAAAATTTAATATCTAAAAAAGATCTGAATCAATCGGATATTTGTTAAAACAAAAATTTTACTCGTTAGTCGCTAATGCTTACTTGTTAACAGTCCTTTTGTGAAATTAAATTAATAATTGGGAATGTACTAATTGTTAATGCTTACTTCACTCAGGAAAAATGTATTAATTAATAATTGGATGCACGTAAATACTTTGTCTGTACTCCAACTAGAAATCCACTCACGACAAGTGGCCCCAAGTATTTGACCATAATGGACATGAGGTTGACGACAGACCATACATAATGAAATACAATTACGAAACCAAGTCTTTGGTTCACCACGCAAGCGACCAATTGTTTGCAGAAGATTACGGTTGGGGGAATCTGATTATCTTGAAAAAAGGACCGCTAATGAAGCAAGAGAGATTCCCAAAAGAAAAAAACACGAAGTATGAAATGAAGCTGGAAGAGACTTGGACGATAGTTCTACATTGCGTTTGAGCTAAGTAACCCACAAATTGAAATTGTTTCTTCGAAGCATCATTTTTTTCGCTTTTACACATCGATCCTCCCCAGTCTCCACATGAAAATGGTACGTGATTGAACCTCTTCAGCTACCTGGAACTCAGTAGCGTGCTAATTGATTCACAAGCAACCCAGTGGTCGTCAAACTCAGCATTGCCAAATTGCCCAATTCACGCAATTACTAGTATTCTAATGCCGGCCATAATTTTCAATTTATAAAGAAACAAAACATTCATATCATCATCGTGATACTATAGCACAGGCAATTAATTAGAATCTAGAACAAGACTTTGACAATATAAAGACTTCTCCCTTAAGATAGATTGATTGAAGAATAATTATTCACAATATCAATCAAGAAAACGATAAACACAGTTCATTTCTACACTAAGCGAGCCTAAGTTTCCAAGGGCAAAAGGCGAAAATTCTCAAACGTCCAGAGAGGAGCTTAGAAAGACCATTTTATTTTTGAGCTTTGGATATCAATAAGGAAGTGATTCGGTAAATGACATGAAACAAATCAAAATCTATATACCCCCTTTAATTCTATTTATAAATAATTTTCAACATATTTCACTAAAATTAAAGTAAACCTTAAACCTCATTAACTTTATCTTAAAATTTAACAGACTTGCACATTTATCCCTAATAAACATTTTTAACTCTTATTACTAGCATTTTTATTCAAATCATTTAATAAGGACAAAAATGTAAAGAAAAACTTTAAAATTTGACAAATAGCCTATAAATAAGATCAAATTTTTTCTTTTCTCTCTATCCTATAAATAAGATTGGAGGAATATGTTTTATATAGGATATCCGTATCCTCCATATACTGAAACTATAACCATTTAAGTTCAATTTCATCTTCCATAAATAACAGAAAATTTTGCTCCAAGAACTCCGCAAGGGTGAATGCAAATCAACTCATGGTGAAGGGAAAATAGGCTACACAAAGAAACAAGTAAATTCAACTAAGACAAAAGAATATAAATGAAGGCACTCAATTTTTTCCCCACTGCTACAAAGAAGCCCGTTAAGGATCCTGCCATTAGTCAGTGGTAAAATATGTATCAGTAGTATACAACAATGTTACTTTTCAGTACTAAAAAAGCATCTATCCAACTCTACCCTGAACGCCTGAGACAAAATAAAATGATAAAGGAACTTTCGATCAATGCTATTCCTCACCAACCCCACCTAGGGCAATTCAAAGGATCATCCTGATCATGCAACTTCAATCCAAAATCACATTTGTTATGGAACAACCTGCAATAACAAGAATAAAATATTAGAACAAAAAAGAAAGCGCCACAGAAATGAATCAACATCATACTTCCATGAATTACAAATTTCTCTTACTTCCCTCCAAGTCCCTGTAAAAACAATGACTTGCAGGAAATTTGGAGGGAGGCAAGAGTGGACGATAAGGACAACATTGCACTCCAAATTGCTGACTCGAACCTTTTTAAACCTTCAATGCAGACTTATGCACCATGGTTTCTTTATGTATTTGATGACAGCTCTTCTCCACAAGATCAAGCAATTTCTCCAAGTTTGCTGACCAGGAGTTTAGAATGTCATTGCTATCCTTTGCACTTTGGAAACAAACTATTCCCATAGGTCTGTCGATCTTTGCCACCAGTGCCTTGGATACAACCATGTCAGAGAGATGCTTCTCAGCCTCCTAAATATTGTAAGGAAAATAAATTAGAGCCTTCGCCAACATATTTAAACGCATCTGAACAATTCAAAACATGCGAGTGAAAATGAATCATGCCCAGTAGACAAACTATAATAATAAGCAAAATGACCATCTTGACAATTAAAGTAATAGGCCTTCATCCCTGAAAACCCAATTCCAACTTTTTCTTCTGTTTACATTGTGCACGAAATTGGCTATTTTCCCATAATTTTAGTCATTCACATATGCCTAAAATCCATATGCCATTTAAGCTAATAATTTGTCACTGTAACACTTTTGGCACAAAATCACAGATTATCATTACAAACCTGGATGCTGAGACACAAAAGCTCTGCAAGTCTCTTCAAAGTGATCCTTGAATAGTACTTTGACACAACAAGAATGTTCTGCCAAGAGAAACAAAACCATTAGTGTCTATGAACCAAAAAACATGCAAAAATAAGACAAACGCCACATGTCCCACAATCCCTCTCAGCCCATAAGGAAACAAGAGGCCCAAAAGCATGTTATGGTGCCAGTCAAATTACATGTTCTATAATTCTTTCCCTCAGATCTTCTGCTGCTTTGTCTCCCAAGTATCCTCCAAGCAAGTTCTTCTCATTCTCAAACTCATTCTTATATGCATCCCAAAGACCTGTCCATTGGATGACCTCCATGGTGACAAGCTGTTTCAACAACAACCTATGGCACAAAATAAATCAAACCGATCAGATGTGATTGTAAATGACAATATACATTAAGAACTTACACAGGGAAGAGAGCAAAAAGACAAGAAAGACAGACTGAGATCAGGATAACATACTTGAAATTTGCAATTTCAGAAAGATTTTTATCTTCCAAGGTGGAATTGAGAAGGCTGGATTGCATTGGATCATATGGGGCTAGAACTAAGTACCAACATATTTTCCTCAGGATCTACAGCAATTGGCAATGGAAAATTTAGACCAAAAGATAATGTCAAGATCAAAATAAAGCTTAACAATAACAGATAAAGAAATTAAGAAAATCAATAAATGAAGGAACACTTACTGGTATCCACTGGGTTGGATTTTCTTTGACAGATGGAATCTCATATATGGACTTATAGCATCGGCAAATCTCAAGGTAATCGTTGTTATGAGAATAATACCTACATGAATAAACATAAGCCAGGATGGCGTGCTTACAAATCACTAGATTAGCATGTTAAGAAACAGGAAATAAAGGACATCACATCATGGAAACAAACAACATGCTGCAAATGGATACTTCCAACATACATTCAAATTATACAAACTCACGCAAAGGCAACCAACTTAAATGGACCAGGCATTGACAATATTCATCAGAGAAATAAATCAATACACCATCATCCAAGTATATCATAATTTTTTAACAACACGACAGTATATATTATATATGAAGCACATTATATGTTATACATTATAACTTCTACAACAAAAATTGATTACGAACATCATATATAATATATCAAGTCGAAGGTCTCAGAAAACTAGTTATATATATGATATCAGAGTTGTGCAAGCAACTCTATTTCTTCCGGGCCTTTTTATGGTTGTCTTTTAGAAGGTTTAGGTTCAAAACTTCCAAATCCCAAACTATAGATTTGTCTGGAGGTAAAGAGATAGGTATGTGGTTTAACATGCCCAAAGCCAAGCTAGAATTCAATACAGCAATGTGAACGCATTATGAGTACCACTTCAGTATCATCCTAGTAGTGTTTCATGGTTGCATATCACCATGCCAAATAGAGCATAAACAAAAGGATATATAGCAATAACAGTCAAATCTGTATGTCCCAATAAACTCTTCGATAAACAGCACTATCCCCCAGAACCAATCAGCAAATCAAAA